CAATACATTAAATTAATGTAACTACACGAAATGGATGTTGAACTGAACTGTGTTTGCAGATAGAGGCTATCTAGTTAGTACAACAAGTTCGTCTGTTGCTTCTTCTATTCCCTGTTCAACACTAAGTCCAGGACAGCTTACATTACTTAATTACTTGCACCTGTTACCCCTTGTGGAAGAACATTGGCCGCTCATCGGCATTCTCCATCCAACTATGTCTTGGACAATCCTTTCCAGTTGCTATTCATCCTTTTCGTGTCTGTGTCCGATTCTCGACACAGCGTGTTTCTTGGCCGTTTCCCTTCAGGATTCCAAGTTAGTGCTTGCTTCGTGTTGCAGTTTGATCTTTTACGCAATGTATGTTCTATCCACTCCCAACGTCTTTTCCTAATTGCCTCCTCAGCTGGAATCTGGTTTGTTCTCTTCCACAGTAGGCTGTTGCTGGTGGTATTCGATCAACAGACATTGAGTATCTTATGTAAACAATTGTTTATGAGTGCATTTACTTTTTTGATGATGGTACGTAAATGTTTCCACATCCTCCAGAGTTTTTCCATCAAGTGCGATTGTGTTGATGTTCTCCGTGTTGTATTTGAGGATGTTGCTTTTTGCCTTATGTAATGTTAAGGTCTACTGATGCATAGGTTGCTGCTGCTGCTACATTGGTTGTGTTGACCTGCATTCGTTGATGTTTATGGGATTGAGGGATTAGGTGATTTGCGAAGTTCAAATCGTCTAGTTGCATCCAAGCTGACCGATTCGGGCTAATTAAATTGTAAAATGTTAAAGATAATGACTGATACTAATCGGTTAAATGAAATTGACATAAAATTTTACGTGAAAATATTTCTCATAATATTTTGTTTCCAGTGAGTTTTATTTTTTCTCATTCTTTTTCCCACCTACTCCCTTCTCTACAGGCTTTAATGAAGTGTTTAGGTGAAAAAGTTAGAGACAATTCTATTGATTCTGTACACCTAACACCAGATCTTATGTTATTTATATATCGTACTGCTGTACAATATTATCTTCATGATGTCGTTGGTGATTATTCACGGACAATTGATTCAAGTACGGAGCATTCATTAATTGGTTGGCTTCGGTTGGTATTTGCAAATCCTACCTATCCATGTATTTTAGTTCAATGTCCAAATACGATGATAACACGAAAACCTATGCATAAGCGTCCACGTAGTGATACTACTACTGTCAATACTGATAATGTTGATCTCTATGAAAGCAACGTTTATAAATGTCCTGTTTGCCAGGCGATGTCGAAATCATCAACTTCAATGAAAACAGTACCAGGAAAACGACGTCAACGGTCAAATGTTGATATAGACATTAGTGGCAGTAGCAATGATGAAGTAGACCAGTCTACACCTGCATATCATTTGGTTGATATTGATGTTGTTTGTTGGGAATCTGTTGTTATTGACAATCATTTACTCAACTCGAAATATTTAAATGATAACTGTAGCAGTGATCTAGGAAATAACAATTCTGTGCATAACACAGAAGATGAGGAAGAAGATACTGTTGAATATTTGAATGATCAATGTATACTGGTCAACTGTACTATGTCTGATGGGAACGAACAACCACTCATTCCTGTAAAACCTATAAATCGACCACGTGTATTTGTTTTATCGAAATGTTATGGTTCAGAATCTCGTCAATTTTTCATTGAAAAACTTGGTGTAAGTTGTTTTTATTATTAATGATAAGGATAATTTGTATTTCTTGTGTGCATTGTAAGATTCCATGACTAAAGACTATACATTAACATAGTAAACCTTTAGTATCATTTTGTAATGTAAAAGTTAGTGACCGACTGATAAAAAACTGGTAAAAGTTTCAACGTATGCGTTATGTTAGTTAAAAGGAAAATAACACAGATAAGGGTATTATGTATGTGTTTGAGTTTCAAGCTCATGAATTTGTAATTGGCTACCAAATAGATGATTCGTTAAGTCCATCATATGGACCACGATAGTACGTCGAACACATTGAAGAACATCGAAGGTGGTTTATATTGGAATTTTATACCCTCAAATGCCCTGGTACGGCTGAGAGTGGAGAGAGTCAACTTTCCCCCTTGGAATGCTCTCACATAGCCACATGCATACAACCACCTACAGGGAAGTGTTACTCATTGCCTTCTCGAGGCAGTTAACTACTTTGAATCCGGTGTTCATCTTGTTGTGCTAATGACGTATGGAAACTTGGATCCATGCACATATGTGCCTGATCCTACGTTGTAGCTTACTGACTAACTCTCGCGGCAGGGGTGTTTTTTTACGAAATTGAAAAGACAGAAAGCGAATGTTGGAGCTTTAACCGGGTTGGTGGACACGGAGGGTCCACCTAAGGGAGTTGGAAAACTCATATTTTATACCAATGGTGTACATGGGCTCCAGGATCCTGAAAGGACAAATGGCGTATAAACCTATTGTTGATCACTGGCTACCCTGGGACTGCATCTCCTGACATTACTCCACTGCCTTGTGGATTAGACCTTTAGGTCAAAGGCCCCGGGTGTGGACCACTTGCTTCGATCTGAGCACTCGGGCAGTATCCTAGCCCTCACACAAATCAAGTGATTTATGTGTTTAAATAAATAATATATACTCAGCTTGTTCACCGAGTACATATTCTTATTCTAAGTGGAAGGCCTAGTGATTACCATTACTTGGTCGATCATTGGGTAGTGGCTAATATCATGTTTGTCTAATTTTTCAGATTGATCAAATTCTACTCATCAATTTACAGTCTAACTATTAATCTAAATAATTCAAAATCATATGCATTAATATTTTAGTGTTAAATAGTTGGAAATATTCAATAAGATACCCTAAGCCTCCAAGTTTCATGTTAGCTGTTACTCAGTAGCAAATGATAACTGAACTCTTAAAAAGAAATTGATTGTGGAATTCAAACTTGAGTCAACCCTATTTCACGGTCTTAATTGTTACCATTAAGTTGTTCAAGTTATCATAATTATCATTGTTTATTATAATTTTCAATGGTTAAGATCA